AATTAATTGCACTATATACTATCACATTTTTCAAATCTGAAATACATATAGTTCATCTAAGCCTTGTGTATTCATAGTACATAGTGCGACGAGTTTAGCAAGTTGATCGACTAGACAAAGCCTTGTGTATTTATAATAGCTATAGCTTTAGTTTTATCATCGTCTGTTTTTTATATTTTTCTATCCTATCCATCTCTTCGTTCATAAAGTACGTGAGTTCGTACGTGTGAAATTGCATGTAATTGCTTACTCGTACGTAAATTTATCGTATCGTTCCATGCAAAATTTAAGACCTCATCTAATTGTTTTCATTTCCCCATTCGATTTAATATTTTCATCCATAAAGTATGTCAATTTCACAGGTGTGTAATTGCATGCCTATTTATAATCTTAACATATTGTCTGCAAAGTTCAGGCACATAATCTATCTGTCGTGCCATCAGCGATTAAGTTCATTCGTGGAAACAGATGTGGCATAATTGGAAAGCATTGGAAACAAGAAAGTGAGTCGGTATGCAAAAAAAGAATGTATTCTACTAAAGAAAACACTATGGCGGCTATCTTATGCGGTGTTCTTAATGAGGGTTAATGCGCACAACAACCTCATGATGCACTTAATGGTTCCACCAGTACTAAACTTTCCAATGTTGTCGACTGGTAATTTCTTACATCACATTAGCTTGTTATCAACATTGACATTGAAAAACACGAGCCGACTGGACTCAGATCCATGGGTTTTTTAATAGGTTGTAGCATGCCATTAAGATTACTGGTTTCAATATGCCTTTTCGTTTTCTTTTGTTAGTTCCATCACATCAAGTCAGCTGTTCGATTTCTGAGAGAATCACTAACATTGAGAAAAAAGAATCAGCATGCAAGATCTGCAAGAACGTTGGAGATGCATAGCTATACAAATTGCAATGGCACTCCCGTCGTTTTGCCACTGCCCTTCTTAACTTTACTGAACAAGCATGGACGCGTACTTGTTCTTTATATGCAGAAATGACAATGCTTTACCATTTCCGCTACTGTGTTCTGTCGGGTCATTCCATGGTTTTGTTCTTGTGCTTTTCTGATTAAGAAATTGCTCGTTGCAGCTAAAAAAGAAAGGAAAGAAAGGTGTGGAGCCGAACAAGTAGAGCACTTCACACGGGTTCATTTGATTTGCTCGATCGAGACAATCGATTACTGATTGACGGAAAGTTGGGCGCACAGATGTTACCATTCAATAAGCTCGAGCAACATAACATACTTTACTACGTTGCCAACAGTCAAGGAGTTAATGAAGAAGCTGATATACTTCTGAGATTGCATACTTTCGTCCAGAGTTAGAGTTCCGTGTCGGTCCTACGTAGGTACAACTGGATTTCATAGGAATCAGATCTTGCTTTACCGGTATGAGACCAAGCGTTTTGACGGGGTCAATGTAAATCCTAGAAAATTATCCCAACGTCTTCTAGACAGTCACTTTTCATTATTTTGTCTTTGCTTCAATTACTATATAAGACAGCATAAGTAGTTATGGCTATGAATGCGCATCGTGATTCCCTGGTGGTCAAATGAAATCTTCAAACAAACTTGACAAGATGGAGAAGACTCGGGTCAAGCTACAGATGGCAAGATTCCCACGAGAATCATTTTGATCTGAGCTTGATTGATCATGTTGCTTAATTGCTTATTTCTTACTATTCTTTGTATAACTTTTCTTGCGAAAATATGCGATTGGATAATAATAAAAACAGAATGACTATATCAATCCGATACCGAATTTATATTGCTTGGTCAATGTAACCCAATTCAGGGAGAGAGCGACATAAGATTTCACTGTAGATCAAACTGTTAGTGGTCTGCCCTAGGAATCAATCAAGGTTGATACTCTAATATTAGTTGTGGATTAGGTTGTGTCGGAAAATCAACCTTCACTATACTTAGGTAGTCATAATGTCTTGCTAGAGACCGCTTATGACTTGTGGGCCAAAAAGAGTTTTGAGCACACTGCTAATGTTTAGTGAACCTACAGGGTCGCACACAATAGCGAACGGACTTAATATTTTCTGTGCGTCTTGATCTACTTAAGAAGTATATTTTAATTTATTCTCTTATTTAAATTATCTATGCGGTCGTGCGCGTTATGAGATAACGATTAAACGTACGATTAAAGGTGGACGGTTTGGCGAGCCCAAATCGCTCGGCCCACTTCTTTTAATTCCGCTGGATAATGAGGCTGTATAAATAGATAGAGAATCGTTCTCTGTCTAGGGTTTTTCGATAGAGTATCGAAAATCAAAAGGCGTTCAAGAAAAAGGAACTTCAAGATCTTTCGCTAGCACGTGGATCGTTGGAGAATTCCGTTCGTGTGTGTGGATACCGGTAGAGGCGCAACACTTGGGGCGCTAATCCAGACACAATCGGTTGCCGATTTATCTTCGATCTGCAAAAAGTATGTTTCGAAATTCCTTTTCGATTTCAATATACACATGGATCCTGTCTAGGGTTCTATATTCCGCTGCATTGTTTTTCGTTGATGAACCCTTCACAAACACCACAACGGAAATTGCAATGACGGGTCGCTTAAACACTCTCGGTGATTCTCAGTACCCAATTACACACAACGACTTGTTTAATTCTTACAAATTATCGTGAAATGGTATCTTTATTTCACAAAGCAATTACACAAATTTTTCTCAGCAAGGTTTTTGCTATCCGACACCTCTTAATCAGGATGCAATTCATGAAAGTTTCTCCAAAGATTTGCAGGAGAACTCCATCAATTGGACAAGATCCTAACTCTGCACAATCACGGGCGTCAGTTGCAGTACACACGCAAGCTAGGCTAGAAGATGAAACCTTGAAACAAAACGCATATATGACCGTGGAGTAAAAAATTGAGCCAACTTAGAATTTCTTCCTAAGAATCTGAACTTCCCCGCTACTCTTACGGCCCCTTAAGAGCATTTCAATTGCCGCGGACATCTTCCAAATCCAAGCAGTGCTTGGATTCCGCTGTAGCCATGGACTTTATAAGAAGGCCAACTCTAATTGCCTCATTAGTCACTCCACAAGATTTCTCAGACACAAGTTTCTCTTAAGGAAAAACCACCATAGCATCCAAACTTGTTAGGTGATCGCACATGCACCTTGTTTAACTTAGCAACTACAAAAATTGTCATTTATACATACTCCACCGTGCTAGCACCCACTACCTTAGGTGTTTATGGTTGCAATTTTACCTTGAGCTAAGTACTGTTCATATCCGTGTAATCATTTTCACAATCACTCTTCCCAAAAATATTGGAGACCTCCTCAAAAGTAACTTCCCACTAACTTGTGAATTTAGTATTGGATACCATAACGGACAGCCCTCGATCTTGTGCATGGTCCAGGAATAATTACTTTGCAAGTGCATATACTCGGCAAGTGAATATAAGTGGTAATTGGTCATACCCAGCAAGTAGATATACTCGCTAAGTGGTTATACTCGGCAAGTGGATGTAAGCGGTAGGTGAGTATAAGCGATAGGTGAGTATAAGCGACAAGCGAGTATAAGCGGTAGGTGAATCAAAATTACGAAAATAGCACTTTCAAGCCCAGTTCATATTTTCACGTTTTTGACATCCAACGTGCTACCACACCTCTCGGAATCAATCAAACACATTTAGGCATGTAATAAACAAGTCAAATCATCACAGTGACTCAACATGCCAATAATGATGCTTGCTCATACTTTTCATCAAATTCAAGCAAAATTATCAAATATCAACCAACAAAGTCAAAAGTACAGAGTAGATTAATATATCTTAGTCCCTAGAGTTTTCACTTAGTTTAAATAAAGATTTGAGCAGCTCAAAGATTTAGTCACCTTCAATTAAAATAAACTAAATAGAAAGTTAACAATTTTTGTCTTTAAAACAACAATACCCATTGGTAAAAATTAGCGGAATCCACTAATTCACCTTGCCAACACTTGAAAGATTGTAATAGAAGTTTTAAATAACATGAGTGTGGGATCTTCGCTTTTACTCACAAGATTTGAAATCCAAAGTTGAAAAAGAAAATTAGAAATTTGAAGTTAATGAAGTAGGGGCTCCCACTTTGAAACTTGAAGACTTATGAAGATCCAATTATACGGCCAAGTAAATGGAAATGTATGTAGTAAAATACACAAGAGTTACCTAGTAAATAAGATTGATTAACAAAAGTTCAAATAATGATGACCTTGAGTTGAAAAAATAAAAACACATGGTGAAAATCGGAGGGGATGTGATCATATTATTACATATGGCCACATTTGGTTTGCTTGCAAGAGATGAGAGCAAATAAAACAAGCTTAAAGTAGAAAATGACGTTGGGTTAAAAACATTAAATGTAAAGGAAGAGAGATAGGTGTTCCAACACAAAAACTACAAGTGTCCTTAAGTGAGTAGCTAAAATGAGATATTTTGTTTGGAAGAGAGAGATTCTTTGGCCAAGTAAAATGAATGGATGAGAGTTAACCTTATCAAAGGCATTATAGGGTTAAAGTTGAAATAGGTGATGTAATACATGATATCATTGCTAGGCAGAAGTCAATATCACTAAGAGCATGTGGGTTAAAATAATTGGTGGAGAATGAAAATAGTTGGTACAAATTACAGAGTGACGAATGGCTCAACTATATATGATTTCGAAAATAGATATTTTGTTAAGTTATCAAAATATATAATAATTTAGTACGTAAACAAGGAAATAATATTATGACAAAAAAAACCAATGTAAATTGAATCCATTCCAAACATTGATAAAATTGAAAAATATTTTGAACTCACTAAAATGTTTCGCGAAAATTACTAAACACCAGGAGAATCACAACTCAATAAATTTAAAACTTGAAAATCATTAAATATGCAATTCAGAGCATATCACTCCATTTCTATAACTATTATAGCAGTAAATTAATTACAATCGTTTTACACCATCAACATACACGTTAACATCTATCAATTTGTCTACAACAGACAAATTCAGGCGGCATCCTCCGGATCCACGCAGCCCAACTCCCTTGCCCTTTCCTCCCCCAGAACAACTGTAGTAACGAGAAAGTCGGTTGGAATCTTCAATGCACTCAAAATGAAGGAGTAAAGCATATTATAAACAATAAAATCTAAAAAAAAGATGGATCATGCAGCTTTACATAGAGTTAGGAAATCACCTAATGATAATTATGTTAACAAGATATATCTATGCAAAATACTTTTCGTATATATCATGGGTTAGTTTCTCTAAACGCAAGTGATGACTTGGTTAAGTAGCTATTATTATTATTATTATTATTAACTAGCTATTATAGAGGAAGATATTTTGCATGCATTTTATTCATTATGGTTGCATAAGAAAATGACAAATCACCTAAAACTCACGCAAGATTAAACCACGTACATGTGAAAGGTTCCATTACATGACCGTGTGAATCTCAAGAATGAGTATTATGAAATGTATAATAAGTGATGACCCCTATGATTGAAAATTTTGTATGGATATCATTGTGACAAAGTATTTTGCCGTATTTCATAGATAAAAAGACAGTACAAATCAATAAAAAAATTCTATATATAATGATAACAAATACTTTACAAATAAATTTAATATCATGTACTAAATACGTGCTAAATAATATACTCGAGAAGAGTTAAAAAATGTAGAAATATTTATTATAATCTGGTAGCTTATATTTGAGAACTAGAATACACACACACACAAAAATAATTATGCTACAAATCTGTGCTACATTTTGTTTTGTCAATATATACAAGTCATGCATGAGTAAAATTAATCCATCATTAATACTCTAAGTACCTAAAAAAACAAAGTAAATAGCAATTAGCTTATTTTCAAGAACAACTTAGCGTATAACTCCAAAGAATCTAAAATTGACAAAAAAATGAAACTTATCTAGAACGAACCATTTAAAAACATGCTTACTGGTGTAAATGTTCGGTCTCATTCTCCATACTCTTGTTTCACGAAAGACGTCGGCTTCAATGTAAGCCTCCATAGCAGCTTGGATTGCATCGACAGTTTTTGTGATGATCTTGTAGACTCCATCAGCTGTATCACGAGGAAGCATATTACCCTGCATTCTTCCGGGCACGTCTATGATGTGAAACGCAATAGTCAAGAGACTTCTGCGGCTATCTCCTCCGAGCACAGTTGGCTTCTCGGGCAGAATTGCAAAACCCGAAGGAAAAATCACCACCGTATCTGGGTTTCCACCGTTTAAGAGCGAGGCCATCGCTCCATGGTCGACAGGAGCATAAACAACGTAAGAGCCTGTTGGGTCCGAGTAAGCGTTTTGCAAGTAAAGGACAGAGGCACAGTTTGGAGCCGGCTGCGAAGAAAAAAAAGGCAAAGCTATCAAACTAAATGTGGTATTTCTAATGACTATGGGATCTGATGAAGCGAGGATGAAAAGAGATTTAGAACTTACCTCCACTTGCATAATGGACACGCGAGTCGCCGGATTTTCTCCTGTGGAGATGTATGTAGCTTCCCGAATGACACGCTTATAAGCAAGGGCATCCCACTAAAAAAGGGGAGGAGAAAAGTACCGAAATCAGCTAATATAAGACTATGATTAAGCTGTATGGTGATCCTGGGTGTGCCATTTTCGTGGCCAACATAAGCGAGTCACTCAACCCCAGTGCTGAAATAATTCCGGTATCGACATTCACCATGAGCAGAAAAATGCACCTCGCTTAACTTTGTTGACGCAATGAAAACATTATCTTTCACCATAACAATCGTTCAGTTGAATAGAAACTTGACATACAGATACATGCATCAGATCACGAGCATTCAAGACAAAGCAAGAAGCATTTCAAGAAACACTTCTGCATGATGTGTCTTAATTGATAAAGATCATTATGAGATCGCACGCTTACATAATTAAAGTCAAAATCTCTGCACTATAAGACTACTGAATGGTTCTATCACCAAAAGTTAAGGTCAATTTTTGTATGAGGACTGATGAGATAGGCATGTATGTATGGCTGAATTTGAAAACAAAAATCGCACATGTGAGTTTCTAAAGACAAATATTTCATCTTTATCAGCATCACCTGCAAAAATTAATCTTTCCACCAGCGATACCCAAAGCAAAGATCACCTGAACTTATTTATTTTAATGCACGGGCAGTTATATATGTTTTAAATAGTTAACTTGGTGAAGCATATCTCAATGAAACAAATCATTAGCATATGATATATTACTTTGGCAAAAAAAAAAGCATATGATAATACACAATTTTGCACTCCATCGTTCATTCATTCACTAATTTATTTTTTTAAGCATTGATGTATACTGCAGAGTACCTTATCTCGGAGGGTCCCGTCAGAGAGGAAATTGAGCACTTTTTTGACTGGAAACGGGAGGCAAACCGAGGTGGTGAAAGCAATTGAAGATCCATAAGGCTTCCCAACATCTCCGCCATAGTTGGTCCTGGCGGTCACCATGATATCTTTCCCTCCAATTGCTGCTAACAATGGAGACCACATATTTGATGCACAGCCATTCACTTTCTTCAAGTAAGTTCTCATCATTCTCTCGGCCAATTTCAATAGATTCTCCCTGCCACTTTTTGATATCACCACTGCACATAATACGCCAAAAATCTTAAAGACGGTGTTAGCTAGAAATTACATCAGTCATCATGAAACTATTTTACTCATATAAGATTAACAAGAAAAAAATTTTATTTATTTTTTCTTTTTGGTGTGTGTGTGTGAAGTAGTTTTACCATTGTTGTATGTGGCATTCTGATTTGGCACCATTAGAGCTTGCAGCCATTCAGCTTGCCTGGTGATGGCAGAAATCCAGCGCTTTGCACCAAATGCAAATCCAGAGGAAACAATTGGCGCGTAGATGCTATGGACTGAGGCATAGTCCACTCCTCCATTCTCAAGCCAAGTGACCTAAAATGCACATAAAACACAGTTGGCAACATAACTATAATTATGTCATTCCCCGTTTAATCGCATGTATTTTCTGTTAAGAACTGTATGTATCATAAGTAGCTATCCATAGATGGATATATCAATTAAACTGAACAAAATAAGTGTTGAGTATTGATAAAACTTAAGAGTCAAACCTTAGAGGAACCATCTGGTAATTGTTGTATCAGACAACCTGATGGCCTCCTTTGGTACTTGGTGAATGAACAAGGGAACATGTACTCTAGTGAATAGTCGACTACTCCCCACAGGTCCCAGTCGAGCTGTTTGCAGTACCTAGCAAAGTAGACGGATCTCGCGGGAACAAGGGTGGTAGGAAGATGAAATTCTGCAGACATCTAGGAGAGATTAAAGAAAAAAGAATTAGCTAGTGTTGGAAATGACTATTTAAATCTATATAACTTCTTGTTTGCACACATGGGAGCATTGTCTAACTAGCTTTGAAACTACATCTAGGAATTAAAGATGAGAAAAGGACACTTCAATCACTGACTGAGGTTTAGGCAGTATAAATGACAGACTTTTAGACTCATAGCACACTCGTATTCTATATTGAGAGTGAAAAAAAGGTAGTGTTCACATGTCAAATATTTTGATTGTTCTCGCTAGAAGTGAGCACCTTGTCCCCAACCACAAGCTCAAAGACAGGTATTCATGCGATTTTTGTTCTGTATATAATGTAAATGCTAATGTTTGAACAAGGTCATGTAAAACATCAATTGTCATTCAAGAAATGGTGAGAAGCTTAGAACATACTCTCGACATTTAGACAATTATTCCACAACAATGGTGAGGGAGATATGGAAAGGCTCAGCCAATATATGTTGGTTTTTCATGAACTTATTGATGCAATACTAATGCATCAATATGGGATGAAAAGATATAGGGAAATCAAGTTGGCTAATTACATTTCGTCAACCCCAATGGTCGACAATATGTGGTGATCAACAAACAATTTTCTAGCTACACACTCTCATAGTACGGTAAAAATACAAGAAATATCATACATACCACTTGTAAAGTCCCGTCATAAGTCCCTGGTGTGCCAGGATACAAGACTCCTAATACAGTGGGCCTCGACACGATGTTGGAGAAGTTATCCGACCATTGATCCTGAGAATGATCCAAAAAAAAAAACAAACATTAGTGTGTTGAAAACAAAGCATTCCATGTATGTTGACTAGTTAATAAGGAAACCAGTCCCACCACATCCATGAGCATTGCAACAATACGAAACCGATCCATATTGATAACAGCAGTTTCTCGAGAAGCTTCAGTCTTAAGCCCTCCTGTTGTAGGAACTCTCGGCACATGCTCAGGGGATAAGTTCAGAAATTCAATGGTGTTGGGTGGATTTGGTCTATTTGGCAGCTTCCCCCATTTTTTATCGGCCACTTCCTCTGGGAAGAGATCATGTACAGCTGGATCTTGCTTTTGAAACGCACATCTGTACTCAAAATCATGTAATAGTTCTGTCACGCCATCGTCTTGGATTTGCCATAAGGGTTCTCTCATCTGGGCCACCGTCATTAACTCCTCCATTGCATCCAGGGATCTTCCAAATATTAATCGCCTTGTGGGCTCGGTAGTTATCGAGACCTTCATTAATACATCAGTAGCCCTAGCAACTCCCCCTCCTATACCTGAGCTTGATGCACAATCAGAGACACCGCTTGCCTGTGGTGAATGCTGAGCTCCAAAAGGCTCAGGAGATTGGTTAGCATGTGCATTGGTATGAAAAAAGTCGGTCGGATATGGTTAATTAGAGAGAGATTTAGTAGGTGATTAGAGAACTTTAAATTTTAACATGAATAGAACAGTCGATTGAAAAAATAGGGTTTTAGAGTTTTGCTAAAATATCATGATGAAACCAATCTCCACACCCATGTCTATATTACTCTTTTCATGGATCTGATCATTATCCTTCTTACAAGTGTGAAAAACAATCGTCAGGGTTTATTTGATGCACTTTGCATACTGAGATGAGACAGGTAATCACCTCGGCATCAATAACAAGTTGTAAACCTAGGTTCATCCCTTCGTCGGGAATGGAATCTGATTGCACAGACCTGTAAAAGGGGGCCGAAAAAAATAAAAGATACAAGTCATAGCACTTTCTCAACAGAAACATAGTGACAAGTTAAGAATAATTGCAGATCAAAAAACAAAATTAACGACAAGATGCTGGTGAAATATATATTTTCAAATATGAGGAGAAAATTCTGCAATTAAAAAATTTATATGAAACAGAAAAAAAGAAAAACCCTACTGCTCCACTGGATTTAGCTGAGGATCGGTCAATGCATGATCACGTCCGGGATCAGCCATAGGAAAGAGCGGGAGGACTTCGATCTCCCTCTTCAGTGCTTCATCGCTGTTAACTTCGCCACCACCCATTTTGTTCATCTGTACAGGAAAAAAAGACGAGATTTTTTCAGGTTTAGCTCACATTTCCTTTAGACCCTTCACTTCGCACAAGAAAATTCAACAAAAAGCCCCGCAAAAGATAAACCAAAGCTGAAAAAAGATAAGATCAAGATAACCAAATCGTTATCAGAGACTCAGATATCACAAAAAGATCACACCTTTGTCCTTCTGGGTGAGCTCAACATGTTTCATGTATCAAAATTCATCAGAAAACCCATCCTTTGTTTTTTTTCTTTTGGAGAAATGACATGATCAGCCCAACCAGATTGTTTGTAGAACAGGTTTCAACAAATCTTTAGCAGATTAAAACGATCGGGGAAAAAATCAAGGAAAAAAAGACACTCATATCTACAAGATCTAGACACATGCAAGCCAAGAAAAACTTCACCTGAAACCACAGAAAATGAAGAAATCAGCTCTCTCTCTCTCTCTCTCTCTCTCTCTCTCTCTCTCTCTCTCTCTCTAGGTCTTGATGTGATTGTAGTGCCTGAGAATGAAACCTACAGATGGTGGAGACACCCACATATATAGGGGGCGAAATTAATTGAAGGAGAAGAGTTCAAGCGAAGAGAGTAGCGTGAATAGCGTGTCTTGCTCAAAACCTTTGCAAAAAAACAGACGTTCAGGTGATTTTTGATTGGTCCATTTTGGTCTGTGAGAGTGCGGACTTCAAGTGAAATTTTTTTTTGATAAAATCAAGGAAGGGTGATGGTGTCACCGATACGTCAACATTGTTTCATCCTACTCAAGACTTGGAGTAGACTTATCTAAATCTAATCCAATCTCTAAAAATCCATGATTTTTTTTTCTCTTTCCTTTCGTTTTTTTAACATTTTTTTAAATGAATTCAATTTTTTTAGGAACATGCCTTTGTTTTTAGTCTTGGGTTTTTTTTTTTAAAATTGATAATGCAACCAAGCTGAAAAATGGGAAGCCACGTTCTCTCGTGTTTTTGTGGTAAGAAAAAAAATATGTAAATGGCTGGAAAAGGTAAGAGGGAGAATATGAGATTCGCATATCGATGACCTTCATTAAGGTGAAATTCGAGAAGTGGGTAAATTCATTTATATAAATTATATTTGTTGAGTAATTTGTATTCTAATAATTCCTTTTTTTTGTAAATTAATATAAGGTGATGATATTTCTTTTAATAAGAATAAAAAATGAGGAGGTTATATAGTATTGTTTTCTTTGTAGGAAGTTCGAGACATTTCGTGTTTTAGTTTTTGTGAATAAAATCCAATGAAAATGTTCATGATGAAATGAATGAAAGATGGAACTTTACTTCGTGGTACAAAGCCAAGCTCCAATAGTAGAAATACGGTAATTTTTTTTGGTCGGAGAATACGGTAATTTAAAATGCAACCAACATATCCTAATTTTCCAATTTATAGATAGAAACATGTCGGCTTGATTTTTGAATTTCTCAAAAATTATTCTCAAAGATCATGAATTTCCAACAATTTTTTTAATTATTTCATGTCTAGTTTATAGATATATCGAATTGTCAACGACATTAATTTATCTTCTACTTCTTTTACATTGAGAACAATGCTGTTTCGGTCATTTAAATGGTGGAAATTAGATAATAAAGTTGACTTTATATATAGTATAGATATAACATTTGCCAATAGATAGTTAAATGTCTACTTTTTTTAATTATTTGATCTTCTTTTGAAAATCAATATTGACTTATCTGATTTTGTTCTTCGAAAATAGGGGAACAGATAAATTTATGCAAGGCTTACATATACGGATGCTTGTTCATTTGAGGGACATTTTGTGATGTACATTACACATTTTATTACTAAACTATGAGTGAATTTTCGATTATGTGACCGAAAATCAAATAATTGCACTATGTACTATCACATTTTAAATCCCAAATTCATACAGTTCATCTAAGCCTTGTGTATTTATAGGACATAGTACACGAGTTTAGCAAGTTGATCGACTAGACAAAGCATTCTGTATTTATAATAGCTTTAGCTTTAATTTTATCATTGCTTTTTTTTTTCCTATCCTATTCATCTCTTCATTAATAAAGTATGTGAGTTCGCACGTGTGAAATTGCATGTATTGCATACTTATACGTAAATTTATCATATCGTTCCATGCAAATTTCAGACCTAGTCTAATTGTTTTCATTTCCCCATGTAGTT